TTAGAAACTAATAAAGACTTTATCTATCTCGTTATCTTATCGCGCTAGTTAGTTATTAAGAAAGTCCCTTATAATAGGTCTAAACTAAGTAAGTACTATTCTAAATAAATAATTTCCTATATAAAGTACCTTTTTAACTAGGTCTAAGAGTTTAGTAGGGTAAAACTAGTAGTAGGCCTTAAGTTAGGTAAGAAAGTCTTAAAGCGTACTATAAGTACTATTAAATAGTCCTAGCTATTTTAGTTTAACTACTTCTCTAAGGTCCCTAACTTATCTATTACCTCCTTTATTCTTAAGTAACTATACCTTATATCGAAGGGTAATAATCTCGCGTATTATATCCTAAGGCAATATAGTAGCTTTAGAGTTAGTTAATCTAGCTTACTATATAGGTATATTAATAGTTATAATATTACTTAAAGTAACGCGGTATTATATTAAATAAGAGCTTTTAATATATAACGACCGGTATTATTCCTAAGGGATAAACCTATCGAGGGGTTTATATTAATAGATATAATAGGGCGTAGTCTAAGTAATAATAAGTATATTACGTTAGTAATAAGTTAGAGGTTATAGACTATAGACTATAACTAAGTAATTAAAATTAGAGATAGAATTATAATAAAGATCTATATTAAAAGCTAGAGAGCTATTTATCTAAAGGAGTAAAAGTAGGTAGCTATATATACCTATAGAGACTATCCTTAGATTATAGGCCTAGCTATAATCCCTAACGTTAGATTATATAAAGTATAGTAATCTCGTTAATCCTAGATTACTTAGATCTCTACGATCCCCTTAATCTTATATTTATTAAATAGTCGTGCCGACTATTTATCCGTTAAACCGTATTTTTACTTAACGCGGTCGACCGTTAGCGGCCTAGTAGCTATAGTCGTAATATCTACTAAGTATAGTCCGAGGTCGATAGCCCTTCCCTTATTAAGGGTTCGGTATAGGAGCGCCTTTATTATACTACTTTAGAAACTTATATTTACGCTAGTTAGAAGGCCCCCGCCGCTAAGGGTAAGGGCGCGTTAAGCGAGTCCGCCCTTAGTCTAGCTATAGTCGCTAAGAATATAAAGACGCTCGCGTTAGCTTTTACCTATTTTATAGATAATACCTACTATATATATAAGTCCCTAGAGAAGCACCTAGGTAAGTTTAGCGACGCTATTAAGACCTTAGCCTAGGTTAGGCTTAAGTCGCTCTTAGTTACCCGGAAGACTCTTATAGCGGTTAACGATCTCGCCGACTATTTCTATCCTATTACTAGCGACGGCCCTAATATAGAGGATAGCGGTTTTAATCTTACTAGTCTTACTAGGCCTATTCTAGCCCTAGTCCCCGTCGATAAGGGGAAGGGCAAAGGTAAGGGTAAGGCGGTAGCCGCGTCTAAGGCCTTATCTAAGGCTAAGGCTAAGGTGTCTATGCCCGCGGCCGTCGTAGAGCCGGCTTAGGAGCTAACCGCGTCTCCCTCTAACGCCGAGCCGTAGCCCGGTAGTTCTCCTAGCGCCGAGCCCGCCCTAAAGCGTCCTATTAGGTCTATATATAATAAGCTTTAGAGCTTATAAAAGAGAAACTAAATAATAAAGTCTTTATATATACTAATAACCTAGCTTTTATTTTAAAGGTTAAAAGGCTCTATACTTAATTTAAGACTATTTAAACTAATATAATAGCTATTATTATTAGCTTAAGAGAAGAACTTATAGTACCCTTAATAGATAATTAATATAAGAAGAAAATTATATAAAGGCTTTACTTATAAAAGCTTAAGAATTAAGCTATTATTAATAAGATATTTAATAAACTTTATAACTAAGAATATATAAGATAAGTTAATAGTTTAGTACCTTTTATAGTACTAGTCTTTATAGTTTAGAAAATAGTAAATAAAGTCTTAAAAGAAAAAGTAATAATAAACCTATATAATATTAATAGCGTAACTATACTTAATAGCTACTTACTACTTAAATAAAAAGATATTATTTAGTCGCTTAAAAGAGCTAAGTATATTACTACTATTAATAGCTTATTATTCTTTTATTAGTTCTTAGTATAGCTAAAGTACTAAGACTAATTTACTATAATAAGCTATTAAAAGCTAAAGAACTTTACTATTACTTTTATAAGCTTTTATAATAGATTAGTATATATATAATAGTATATTAATAGGTAGCTATACCCTTTTAAGTCCTTTATATAAGCTTTTATTAATAATATTATTATTTTCTTAAAAATAAAAAGGAATACTTTAAGTACCTTAAGTAAACCTTTTAGCTATTTACTAAACTCCGCTTAAGTATCTTACCTTTTAAGTACTAAATTAAATATCCCTTAGCTTACTTACTAAGATATAATATTAATATCTTTAATATAAGTACTACTTAGTATAAGATAATAGCTCTTTAGCTGTAACGGGCTGAGCCCGTGAGGGTCTCGGCTCCGCTCTCGACAAGACCCACCGGAGCTCCGCTTATAAGCTCGTGCCATCTTCGAGAGCTTTCCTTTCTTTTCTTTTCTTCTTCTTTTCTCCTTAGCTTTAGGATACTCGTCGCAGTCGCTCAGCTAGTTGTCAACACACTCAGTTGAGACCGTTACATTATCCTAAAGCTCCGCTTTCATCGTTAAAGCCTTTGATCACAATCAATTGGCAGCGCTGTTCAGTTCCCTTTGTGGGTACGCGGAGTGGCAGTAGCTTGGGCAATCCTGTGTGGAACGCCCGCGACGAAAGTGCGTGTGTGTACGGCGCCAAAGCCAGCTTGGCTCGCGTCGCGTAGCTCTCATCTCCCGAGCAAAGGACGTGGAGCGTCAATCTGCTCTCCGTACGGCGTGCGGTTGAGCGAGAAGTACGTGATTGCTGCTTGGCTCCCAGTGTGGACGGCAGCAGCTGGACTAGAAGCCCTGTGCAGAACGTCCAGCCGTGTAGGAAGGAGCCTTCGAGGCGTTGATAGCGTTCGACCGTTGTCGAGATATCCCTTCCGTATCAGACTTGCTGTGTGATCAAGTCGCCCTCAGTCCTGAGAGACGAGGAGAAAATCTTCAGTCATGGAGGCAATCGATTCCCAGCAAGGTTCTTTGAGCCTCAATCGATGATGCAAGCCCTGGCTGCAGTGATGGACAAACTAGAAAGTGTGTGTGCAAGCCAAGAGGCCGAACGCGAAGAGATGCGATCGCAGATCCGAATCCTCCAAACAGCCGTCTCAACCCGACTCCGGCAAATGAACCAGTCGCTCCTATCGAACCGATGTCCGACAACACGCCTCAATCGATCGAGACATCCGAAAGAATCCCATCAAAGAGGGTAAAACCAACCTTGCCTGATCCGCCGAAATTCGATGGAACCAGGAAAACTTCCGTCCCTGGTTCTTAGAGATGAAAGCGAAATTGGCTGTGGACCGACAGGCATTCGACAATAAAGAAGCACTCTTCGCCTATGTGTACTCCCGGTTGGCGGGAACAGCCCAGAACATGGCCGCTGCTTATTACGAACAGGGCGGTATCGATGGTGCTCGCTCCCAGATCTGTTTCTCGACTACTTGAACCGTCGGTACGGGGACCCGAACGCAAAGGCACGAGCACTGGATCGACTTCGATCGTTGAAGCAGAAGCCTGATGAGAGTTTCGCCAGTTTCTTCCCAAAGTTCGAGAAAGAGCTTGCCGATAGTGGCGGTGGCGAGTGGGCCGACGTGGTGCAAATCAATTACTTGGAAGGAGCAATTAATAATAGGCTCAAGTCGAGTCTCGTCAGTGCCGTCAGTCTCCCGAAGGATTTCAACAGCTACGCCGAGCTACTCTGACGATTGGCTCGCGCCTAGATAGCCTCAATTTCCACCAACGACAACAAGGCCGCGAGCAGAGGTCAAGAAAGGAGTATGGTCGTTTATCCGACCCGCTCGAGTCCCGAAAAAAGCCCCGTCACCCGGATCGCCAACCACGTCGTCCCCGTCCGATGATCAGATGGATTGGGAACCCGTGAAAGCAAATCGGTTGATAAACGGCAGGAGGGCCCCGGAGGAAAAGCAATTTGTTCCGTTGGAGGAGCGCAAATGTTACGAGTGCGGGAAGCTTGGCCATCTTGCGGCCAAGTGTCCGGGAAGGAGCGGCGGCAGCAGAGAGTCAAGGTCCGTGTCGAAGAGAAGACAAGAAGCTCGAGCAAAGCACCAAGAGCCCGCGGAGAGTTCTAGCGGGGATACCTCCGATGACCATTCGAAACGAGTAGCTCCTGACGAAAATCGCCGTCAGGAGCGCGCAAAGGCTGAGGCGGAATGGGCAACTCAGAAGGACGAGATGGACTGTGAAGGCCTCTACGTAAATTTCGGTATCAATCGAGAGTATTTCACCACGGCCTTCGTTGACTGTGGTTGCCTGTGTTATGGGACCATCAGTGAGCGCCTTGCCCGCAAGCTTCACCTGCCGCGTATTCCGATTAAACCTCGAGCGTTGGAGCAGGTCAACACATTCTCACCCGAGGCCATCTGTGCCGTGACCTACTTCGACTTCGATATCGACGGGTACCAGAAGAAAGAGCTTTTTCTACGTTGTGCGAGACCAGACCGATCCTGTGATTCTGGGCAAGAAGTGGTTGAACCAGGAGGATGTCACCTTGCGATTATCGCAGAACCTCTTGCATATCGGGACGCACGACCATTGGGTGAAAGGCCGAGACCCGAAGGAGGAGGAACGGTGCAACATACGAGGACAGGCGGCGTTCGTGTTCGCCGGAATGGTTCGCCGAGCAAGAAAGTTCAAGCATCGAGACGATGGAGTGCGGATCTTCGCCGCAAGCCTGAAAGACATTGAGAAGGCATTGACCTGAGGAAGAAGTCAGACCCGAGAGAGAAGCTGCCCGTCACTACCACGAGTACCTCCGTCTTCGACCGCGACCAAGCGGACCAACCCCCCCGCGTCGTCGGGGGTGTGATCACAAGATTCAGTTAGAGAGAGGTCCTGATGACAAGGAGAAAGAACCGCCGTGGGGACCATTGTACGGCATGTCACGAGAAGAGCTCATTGTTCTGCGAAAGACTCTCACTGAGCTACTCGACAAGGGTTTCATTCGAGCAAGTAGTTCTCCAGCGTCAGCACCAGTTTTGTTCGTGAGGAAGCCCGGTGGTGGTCTGCGCTTTGCGTGGACTATCGAGGATTGAATGCGATCACCAAGAAAGACCGATATCCCTTGCCGTTGATCGAGGAAACTTTGCGGTCGCTGTCCAAGGCCAAGTGGCTCACCAAACTTGACGTTATCGCAGCATTTCACAAGATTCGCGTCGAGGAGGGAGACGAGTGGAAGACAGCATTCAGAACACGTTACGGACTCTACGAATGGCTTGTCACGCCATTCGGGTTGACGGTGCTCCGCAACGTTTCAGCGTTACATAAACCACACGTTGCGAGATTTCCTCGACGAGTTCTGTTCCGCTTACATTGACGACATCTTGATCTACTCGAGCGGTTCGCTCGCAGATCATCGCAACAAAGTCAGGCAGGTCCTTGCTCGACTGCGAGATGCAGGCCTGCAGATTGATATCGACAAGTGTGACTTTGAGGCAAAGAGTGTCAAGTACCTGGGCTTCATCGTCGAAGCCGGAAAGGTATCCGCGTGGACCCGGAGAAGGTGCAGGCAATTCAGCAGTGGCAGCGACCCCGTTCTGTCAAAGGCGTCAGAAGCTTTCTGGGGTTTGCCAACTATTACCGGCAATTCATTCCCAGATTCTCCAACATCGCCGCGCCTCTAACGGCGTTAACAAAGAAGGATGCGGTGTTTGCGTGGTCGAAGGAGTGCGACAAGGCCTTCGAGGAGTTGAAGGCTCTTCTGACCAGTGCGCCGGTCCTTGCGCAATGGGATCCGGATAGAGAGACGATTGTGGAGACGGATTCATCCGGTTATGTCACAGGAGTTGCGCTCTCGCAAAAGGGCGATGACGGCATCATGCGGCCTGTGGCCTTCTTCTCAAAGAAAACGCACCGGCGGAGTGCAACTACCCAATCCACGATAAAGAGCTGCTGGCGATCATTCGCTGCCTTGAGCATTGGGACGCCGAATTGAGGAGTGTGAAGTCCTTTACCGTTTTGACGGATCATCTCAACCTCCGTTACTTCACCAAGAAGCAGCAACTGAGTGAACGTCAGGCGCGATGGGCTGAGACGCTATCGCGGTACAGCTTCACCATCAAGCATCGACCGGGCAAAGAAGCCGTCGTACCGGACACGCTGTCTCGACGAGAACAGGACATGCCGCACAGCGCCGAAGATGATCGGTTGCAAGGACGACGTGTTCAGCTGCTGCAACGTAACAAGGGTGGCCTGGTGACAAAAGTCAAGAGCGGTTATGTCACCAAGGGCGACACGGATCAACCCGATGACGCAACAACTGACCAAGACGACTCAATCGAAAACCCTTTCTCGGACCCGGAACTGCAGAAGTTATGGGACGAAGGTGTCAAGAAGCACAATCGTTATTGGCTCATCCGAAAGGCCGTACAGCAAGGCGAGAGGCGTCTGCCGTCGCATTGGGGACTGCCCGTGATGCTCTCGGAATGCTCGATTGACGATGGACAGCGGCTCTGCTGGCGAGAGCGAATTTGGGTGCCGAACCAAGAACCCTGCGCGCGGCTTATGCAGGAGACGCATGACTCAACGCTTGCAGGACACCCGGACGGGACATGCTGAAGTCCTTGTTGAGCCGCAAGTTTTATTGGCCAGGCCTCGATTCAGACGTGCGTCAATTTGTGAGAAATGTGTGTGGCCGAAGCAACATTTGGCGAGAGAAGCGTCGCGGTTTATTGAAGCCGCTACCTATTCCAGACAGGATCTGGTCGGAGCTGTCAATTGACTTTGTGACAGACCTGCCACCAACCAAGTCGAACGGTTCGACCAACCTTATGGTCGTGACGGACAGACTGTCCAAAAGTGTCGTTCTTGAGTCATTGAAGGACATCACGGCCGAGACGACGGCCAGAGCATTGCTACGGAACGTGGTGCAACACCATGGCGTGCCGCGCGCGATCGTCACTGACCGTGGCACGCAATTCACCAGTAGACTATGGCAGAGGCTCTGCGAGCTGCTACGCGTGAAGCAAAGATTGTCTACGGCGTGGCATCCGAGACTGACGGTGCAACAGAAAGGGCGAATCAGGAAGTCGAGAGATATCTGAGGATCTTTGCTGCTTATGCTCAGGATAACTGGGAAGAGCTGTTGCCAGCGGCCATGATGGCCATCAACAATCACAACTCGACGTCGACAGGCCTGAGCCCGTTCTTTATCACGCATGGGTATCATGTTGACCCGATACAAGTCAAGGAGAAGTTACGGACGGACGGAAGGTCCCCAGTGACCAGGGCTGAAAGCATTGTGCAACGATTTCGAGAGGCAACGGAATGGGCCCAGGCGGCAATTGCGTCAGCGCAAGAGCAGCAAGAGAAGAACGCCAATTCGCGAAGACAGCCGTCAGACCAGTTCAAGCCTGGAGACAAGGTATGGCTGCGACTTCGCAACATCCGATCCAATCGGCCATCCAAGAAGCTCGATTGGCTGTCGGCCAAGTACACCGTCCTGGAGACCATTGGGTCACACGCGTGCAGGCTGGACACGCCTGGGAATACACAACGTGTTCCACGTGTCGCTCTTACGCTTAGCAGCGGACGATCCGCTACCGTCACAGACGTCGGATGACTACCGCCCACCGGCCATTTTGACGGACGATGGCGAGCTGTGGGAAGTGGAAGAGATTCTGGACAGGAAGAAAGTCGGGAGAGAGTGGAAAGTGTTGGTGAAATGGGTCGGGAGCTCCGCTTATAAGCTCGTGCCATCTTCGAGAGCTTTCCTTTCTTTTCTTTTCTTCTTCTTTTCTCCTTAGCTTTAGGATACTCGTCGCAGTCGCTCAGCTAGTTGTCAACACACTCAGTTGAGACCGTTACATTAGCCCTTAACTTCCTTAATACTCTTTAATTACTAGAAATATATATTAAAGCTATAGATTTTATTAAGAACCTAATCTTATACTATAGCCTTATTATAGGTCTATTATAAGCTTAAAAGATAGTAGTACTTACTTAAGAAAGAGAAGATAATAAGGTCGTCCTAAGAAACCTTAATAAGTATAAAGCCTTTATTAAAAACGCTTAGTATAAACTAATAATATAAGAACGTATAGCCTTTTAACTCTTATAATAAGAGATTACTATAGGCTAAATAATTTATTATATAGACCCCTATAAGTATTTATTTTACTAGCTAGATAGATCCTTTTAAAGAGGCTATATAGCTTACTTCTTTTACTTAAAAGATATAGTATACTAGACCCTTAAAGAGCTAATCTTAGTTAAGTCTATACTCTTTATAGCCTTTCTCTCTTATATACTTATAAAGGCTAAAGCTAACTATAGCTCTTTAAAGCTTAAGGTCTCTTACTTTATTTAAGCTATTAAAAAGATATATACTATAGTATAGTTATTTACGCTACTATTAATTATACTTATAGATTATTTAGTAACTAAGTAAATAGTAAGGAAAAAGACTATAAATACTACTAGTACTAATAAAGCTAATAAGAGGCTAATTAGCTATTTAATTTACCTTTTATAATATAACTTATAAGTATATTACTTACTAAGAAAAAAGAACTTTATTTTTAATACTTTAAGTAAACTACTAGCCTTTAAGATAAATAAGCTAATAGCGTATTAATAGCTTAACTATAGTATAATTAATAATATACTAATAATAAGTAAAGCTATTATAGCTTTTAAAGTTAAAGCTTAGTTTAAAGTAAGATATATCTTATTTTTATATAAGATAACCTCTTATATTACTAAGCTAATAATAGATTTATATACCTTAATATCCCTTAAAATATAACTTAATAACTTTTTATAGCTACTTATAATAAAAGAAACTATTATAAGCTCTTTTAAATACTAAATAAGCTTAAAAGTATTATAAAGTAAGTAAAGGTATATATATAAGTACTATTTATAAGATAATATTAATAAGCTTTATAAAGCTCTTTTATATATAGCTAGCCTATATATATATATATAGGATCTAGCCCTCTATATATAACTATATAGCTTAAGCTATAGCTTAAGCTTATAACTTATAATAGTTAAAGACTTTTATATAATACCCTTTATTTAGTATAGCGCGGCGCTACTTTATTAATAGTATTTATATAATTAAGCCTTAAGCCTTTTATACTACTAGCTTTACCTTATTATTTTTTATTAATTATACTAGCCCTACTAGCCCTATTATCCCTATACTTATTAACTAAGGTAGCTAGTACTTAGCTTTATACTTATTAGCTAGCTAGCTATCTAAATAAAGGCGTACTTTATTATATACGCCCTTAAGCGGCTAGTAGCTAGCTTAGATATATATAAGCCTTAGGTTACCTATCCCCTTAGCCTTAGGTAGCCTCCTTTAATAAAAGGTATATAAGGTAGTATCTTTCTTTTCCTTCTTTCCTTCTTTTTCTTTCTTTTTTAACTATAGCTAGAGTAGTAATAATAGCTATAATAGTAATAATAACTTTAACTAATAAGTTCCTTACCTTATAAAATAAAAGGCCGCGTTTTATTATACTAACTTTTATAATAAATATATCTATATCCTTTTCTCTTACCTCCTCTTTCTTAAAGTATATAAAGTGATTTATTAACGCTATATTAGCTATAGCTTATAATAACTTTATTACTACTATTACTCTTACTTATACCTTTACTATTAAGCTTACTACTACTACTATTACTTTTACTACGCTAGCTACTTTTATATTACTTTTTAAAGTAATAATACTATCTCTACTACTACCTATAACGCTTAGCCTCTTAGCCCTTACTTCCGCCTCCTCTACCTTTATAAGTCTATAGTTAAGTAAGCGTAATAAATATTTTCTACTAAGATTTTAAAGTATAAGCGCTAAGTATAAGCTAGAGCTACTCGCGCGGCCCTTTATATATAGTATACGTTATAAGAGCTCCTTTATACTAACTAAGTTAAGCGCCGCTATAGTAATAGCTATTATTAGTATATATATACTAGCCGCGCTTATAAAGTAGCGCTTCTTATCTTACTTACTATAGCGTAAGCTTAAAAAGCTAGCGCGTATAGGTAAGTACAAAGGGCTACTAAGAAGCGCCTTACTACTACTATAGCCGCTTACTATAACCTTTATGCCTTAAAGCGCTAAGGGCTTATCCTTAAGTAAGTTCTTTTTCTTTTACTCTCTTACTTTTATTACTAACTCTTTTAGTAGTAAGGATATTGCCTTTATTACTTTATCGGCGGTCCTTTTAGCCGTGCTTACCGCCGCTACTACTACTACCCCCCGCCGCCGCCGCTATTAACTAGCTCGCGGGCTTAAAGGGCTAACTTAGCGCCTTAAAAAGCGCCTCCGCTACTACTAAGAAAGGGGATAAGGCTAATAAGGATAACGATAATAATAATAAAAGTAAAGATAAAGGTAATAATAATAAAAAATAAGCTTAGGTAGTTTAAGGGCTTTACCTTAAAATAAACGCTATTTTTATTTTTATTTATATTATTATACTTATATTACTATAACTACTTACTTTACTTTACTTACTTTATAGTCCTAGCTTATATTATAAAGTAAGTAAAGGTATAAGCTTAGGTATATATTACGACTATAGTTAGTAGGCTATAGGAGAGCCGGCTATATATATATAATAAAGCAGCTTAGAATAATAGTTAGGATAAGAAGTTACTTAGACTTAGCTTACCTAGAGTATATATAAGCTAAGTAAGCCTTATATAGATAGATTACTACTTAGAAGTATAGCTTACGAGTAAGCTATAGTAAGCTATAAAGGGGATTATAGCTAGGACCGTAATCTAAAGATAGTCTCTATAGGTATATATAGCTACCTACTTTTATTCCTTTAAATAGATAGCTCTCTAGCTTTTAATATAGATCTTTATTACGATTCTATCTTTAATTCTAATTACCTAGTTATAGTCTATAGTCTACGACCTCTAACTTATTACTAACGTAATATATATATTATTACTTAGACCACGCCCTATTATATCTACTAATATAAACCCCTCGATAGGTTTATCTCTTAGGAATAATACTAGTCGTTATACGTTAAAAGCTCTTATTTAATATAATACCGCGTTACTTTAAGTAATATTATAACTATTAATATACTTATATAGTAAGCTAGATTAACTAACTTTAGAACTACTATATTGCCTTAGGATATAATACGCGAAATTATCGCCCTTTAATATAAGGTATAGTTACTTAGGAATAAAGGAGGTAATAGATAAGTTAGGGACCTTAGAGAAGTAATTAAACTAAAATAGCTAAGACTATTCGATAGTACTTATAGTATACTTCGAGACTTTCTTACCTAACTTAAGGCCTACTACCGGTTTTACCTTACTAAACTCTTAGACCTAGTCGAAAAAGTACTTTATATAGGAAATTATTTATCTAGAACGGTACTTACTTAGTTTAGACCTATTATAAGGGATTTTCTTAATAACTAACTAGCGCGATAAGATAATAAGATAGATAAAGTCTTTACTAGTTTCTAAGGATTTAAAGAAGCTATTATAAAGGTATTTAGAATAACTAATAAAGAATAAGAAGCTAAATAGAATCTTTAAGAACTTTAATAAAGGATCTTAGTATTAGATTATACTATAAAGTTCCGTTAAGTTACCTTAAAGCTTAATTAAGATAACGAACTTCTTATATTACGATTCTATAATAGGCTTAAAGAAGAAGTTAAAGACGAGCTCTATAAGGAAAATCGACCTAATAACCTTTTAGACTATATTACTATAGTAGTATAAATCGATAATAGATAGTATATATAACGCTAAGAAAAGAAATAAGAAAGAGGAAACTAAAACCCTTCTTATAAAAATAACTTTAGCTAACGCGCTAACTATAAGTAAAAGCATAAAATATAAATAGCCTAGGTATATATAATAAATCCTAGACTAATAGATTTAAGTATAATATAAAAAGGTAAAGGAAAGTATTTTAACTATAGGAAACTTAAATATTACTCTAAAGAATATAAATAACCTCGTAAGGAGAAGAAAACCTACTAGGTACTAGCCTTAAAAGGTAGGAAATACCTAAACGCTATTAATAGATAGGAACTAAAGTATAAACTCCTTAGTTAGACTATATACTATAATAACGAATATATAGTATACTTAAGCGATAAGAATAGTATTAAATAGTTCTTAAAGCTACTAAGGAAAACCTTTATAATAATATAATAAAGGGATCCTAAAATATAGAAATAAGTTAAATTTATAGAACCGGAATACCCTTATCTTAAAGGAGTCTTTTAAGACTAGATTAAGAAGAACGGTAAACGATTCTAAGAAAATATATAAAATAAAAATCGATAATAATAATAGGTAGTCTATAAATAATATAATAAAGAAGATATAAACGTAGCCCTTATACTTATAAGACTTAGATAATAACCTAACGAGGAATAATAAAGTATTAATAATATAAGCTTTAAAGAATAAGAAATACTTAGAGAAATAAAAGATAAGAACGAACTTATACTACTACCCTTACTACTAAGGGAAAATACTACGATTAGAAAACACGCTCTGTACTTTAAAGAATTTAAAGAAATACTTAAAATTAGAACTTAATAAATACCTTAAAT